CCCCTGGGTAGAGTGCTATGGCTTCACTGCTCACAGCAACCTCCAACTCCTGGGTTCAAGTGAGTCTCCTGCCTCCGCCTCCCAAGTAACTGGGACCACGGGTGCCCACCACAACGCCCGGCTATTTTTTGGTTGCAGCCATTGTTGTTTGGCAAGTCCGGGCTGGATTTGAACCCACCACCTTAGGTGTATGTGGCTGGCGCCTTAGCCGCTTGAGCCACAGGCGCCGAGCCTTAATATGTATTTCTTAAAGAATGTAATAACCAAATTTAGGTTTTCCCATAAGAATATAATATGTGTATAATATTATATTATCCAATGAAAACTCTGTGCTAAAAGTTGAATTTTATGAGTTTAGGTAACCTAAAAATCTTTGTTTCAACCATTACCTTCTTAATTTAGCCAAAGTTTAGTTTTAATTTGGTTACTATGTAGTTCTTGGGAGCAATATACTGCAAGAATTGAGAAATTATTAGAAGAGGGGTTTAGGGGCGGCACCTATGGCTCCGTGAGTAGGGCACAGCCTCATATACCAAGGGTAGAGGGTTCAGACCCAGCCCTGGCCAAACTGTAACAAAAAAAAAAAAGAAAGAAAGAAATAGAAGAAGGTTTTAAAATTTATAAAATAAAATTCTTCCATTTTATCTAAAGTTGGTTTATCCCAGCAAGCATCATTATGAAATTTAGTCTGCTTATACCAGACATTAAATAAATATTTATAGAAGTAATATGTAATATTTATAAACAACACAAAACTAATATTCTACAATTTTAGATATTTGTGTTTTTAATATTTGCATTTGGTTTTAGGGTGGATCTATTTTATTAATAACTGGTCCTCCTGGATGTGGAAAGACAACTACTGTAAAAATACTATCAAAGGAGCATGGTATTCAAGTACAAGAGTGGATTAATCCAGTTTTACCAGATTTCCAAAAAGACGATTTCAAGGAGATGTTTAATCCTGGTAAGGTTTGCTATGAAGATAGTGGAAATAGTGGGAAAAACTTGTGCTTACTACAGGTTTCAAATGAAGCTACGTGAGTGCATTTTTCCTCATCCTTCCCTTTTTCACAGAGAAGTAATTTCAGGAAAAGGAAGGGAAGCGTGCTTCCAGTAGAGGAGAATGGAATTTTGAGGATTAAGTCTTAACTGTTTTCTTAGATAACAAGCTATTCTGTTTGCATTATTCATGTAATTTTTTCCAGTCTCCAGCTGGAAGGTTAGACATTGTTAAATCATTTTATTTGTTTAATATAAATCAAGCTTTAAGATATAATAAAAGAACTTGCCTCCCAACCAAGCAGATAGATAGATCAGCAAGTACTTGTTAGAATAAGGTCAATCCAAAGCAAAGCAAAAGGTAAAGCCTGTCTTTAGAATTTGGAAGGAAGCCTTAGGATAACCTTTCAGAAAAGTCTAACAGTACCAGTTTAAAGATGTATTACATATGGTGTAATTTCACACATATGCCTATGTATATATTTGTCTTCATATTTTTTCTTATTGATTCCATAGCTAGTTAAACTAAGGGTGGCAAAATCTCCTAGACTAGTTTGAAGGGAAAGGCATTCTGTAGAAGGATAATTTTATTTTAATGTGGAGTGTTCCTCAAAATTGCTTCTCTAGGCTCTTCTTTAATGTACTGTGTGTATGCCATATCTTTGGTATGCATGGGCTTATGCTGCTTAGTGTCCCACACTCCTGGAATTTTTACTGCTTTCTAGATAATAACATTACTTTTGACAGTCTGAAAAGTCTTCATTTAAACAATCTGCTATGTGAAACAAGCCTTCAGAGAAACTTCTTTCTTACTCAAGTTCACTATTCACTTTCTCTTTTTTGTTGTTAAACCTTTGTTATCGTACTGAAGATAATTATTTATTATAGTCTCACACTGGTTTGGAGAGTCTTCATTGTGTAGGCCAAAGTCATAATTGTTTTTACCTACCAATTGTACGAGTGTTATGCTGACAGCTGTGTTTCAAATTCAGTTAACTCCATGTTACATACACTGGTATAGAAAAATTGCTGCTGTCAATGTTGACTTTTTTTTGAGACAGAGTCTCACTTTTTCACCCTTCGTAGAGTGCGTGGCATCATAGCTCACAGCAACCTCAAACTCTTGGACTCAAGTGCTCCTCTTGCCTCAGCCTCCCAAGTAACTGGGACTATAGGTGCCTGGCACATTTACCTGGCTATTTTTAGAGACAGGTCTCTCTCTTGCCCAGACTGGTCTTGAACTCCTGAGCTCAGGCTATCCACCTGCTCAGCCTCCCAGAGTGCTAGGATTACAGTTGTGAGCCACCTCACCTAGCCTCTTGTCTTTTGAAACAAATATCCTATTTTACATTTGAATAATTTCTCCTAATTAGAAAACGGTCTATAGTACTTTAAGCTCTGTCATGGATATGTAAGTTTATGTGTGTGTGTGTATGTACATGTGTATAATATCTATATATGGAATTTTTGAAAATAAAAGTGGTAAATGTGTTTCCTTTCAGAATCAAGCTTCCATGCATTTCCCTATCAGTCTCAGATAGCAGTTTTCAAAGAGTTTCTATTAAGAGCAACAAAGTATAATAAGCTACAGATGCTTGGAGATGATCTAAGAACTGATAAGAAGATAATTCTGGTTGAAGTAAGGACCTTTAAAATCCTACTGTAACTACTGAATAAACAATTTGAGAGATATGTCATATGTGACAATATTAGCTATCTCTATGGTAGTAATAGTGGTAAAAAGTAACACAAAGGTTTTATGAAAGCAGAAACCTAAAGTCTTTTTCACTAAACGTGAATAGAGTTAGAACTGTAGGTTAATGAACTTTAAAAATTGGATGGCTTGGGCTCGGCACCTGTGGCTTAAGCGCCTAAGGCGCCAGCCACATACACCTAAGGTGGCGGGTTCGAATCCCCAGTCCAGGCCCGCCAAACAACAATGATGGCTGCAACCAAAAAATGGCCAG